AGGGGACAAAATGGGGTAGGTGTGTGAACAGGCAGTCCAGGCAATCATGTAGAGAAAACCGTTCTGCTGATTTGGAGGGTGACCAGTCTGCAGTCAAGCCCAAATATTTGCCAAGGCAGTGTCTGAAGCAGTAAATAATTCGGCAGAAAATTGTAGGTATTTGAAAACCCGTGAGCACATGGGGAGTCGCGCGGACTGCTTTTCCGGGAGTAACCCTCCCCCTACCCCCTCGAAATCCCGAAGCAGTGTCAGTTGGCACCAGGGTGGGGGGAGTGGGGCGTGGCCGAAGCGGGACGACCAATGCCCCTGTAAGTAACACAAAAGCTTTCTTCTTATTTCGACAATTCTAGATCTACATTCAAATCCAGGTGTCTTTACATGGCTGCGCCTAGGGCCATAAACGTTTGCTGACAAAAGCAGACATAAGAAGACGTGTGCGTAAGCGCGCAGACTTGCGAAACATTCCGAGTTGGGTGTTGCTGGTTGTTTTTCTACGGGTGCAGCATTTATTTAAATTTTCGTATCGCCATCGGCGTTATTTTTCTCAAGAGAAATTGTGCAATGAAACAATACAATGGAGGCTGAAGTTACCAAGTAATCTGCGTTCTTAGACGTCCTGGTCCACCGTAAGACTGACGCAAGCCTAAAGACTACGGTGTACCGAAAGGCAACCGACACACCTCAGGTACTCACCTAATAAAGTAACCATCCAATGGGCCACAAATGCAGCTGTGTGCGAACTCTCTGCAAACTGGTAGAAACGCATTGCAACGAGGCAGGTGACAAAGCGGCAGAACATAATTATCTTCGGTGGATGCTCATCTACAATGGTTACTATCGCAGCTCCCTAGAATGCAGCAGACAACCGAAACGAGCTACAAGACCAGTTACGGAACAACCAAAAATATGAAGAACAATGCCATGCGTCAAGCATTTTTCTGAAGTAGTCGCTCGCCTGTTACAACCACTGGGTATCGGCGTAGCCCACAGACCTGAAGAAACAATAATACGAGTGGTCATGGAACTACAGCCCCCTCTCCCGCGCAGGAACAGCAAACGTTGTCTATTGCGTCCAGTGCAGTTCCTGTGACGCGAACTACAGTACTCGCCACAGACCATGCAATTTTCATAACTTGTATAAGTTTGATCATTACTCGAATACCAATTTGAATGCATTTAGGAAGA